TTGGAGGCATTATTTATATATCACACATATGATAAGATGATTTTGAATCATTGATAAATAAGATACTTTGTTATCCTTCTTTTAAAGATGGAGAAACCAAGATTCATAGGAGTACAGTAGAATCAAGGACTGTCTAGAACATTGTTTATGTTATCTAACCTCTTTAATGCTCAGTTGTTAATGAAGTAAAATTCAAAGTAGCAGGCAAGGGTGACCATCCATGTGACAGGCACTCTGATAAGTGGTTGTTTTTCACAGCAACTTCATGAGATTGGGACTATTACTCCAAGTCACTGGATGAAAACAATAAGACTTAAAAAGCAAAGATAATTGTACAAGAACATAGGGCTAGCAAGTCAAGACACAGAAGTAGGATGTGGGATAGTATGTGACCTAAGACCTAGATGATCCAATAAGATAATGTTTTATTTGTTTAAAATACTTTTATTAGTACATACTAAGTACACATACTTATGGGGCGTAGTGTGATATTTTAATGCACAGATACAATGTATAATGACCAGATTGAGATAATTGATCTTTATCATTTATTTGGGGTGACATTAAAATCTTATCTGTTACATATTTGAACTACACAATTGATTGTTGTTGACCATCCTTACCTTATGTGTTATAGACCATTAGAAGGTATTCTTCCTGTCAGGCCATTTCCCTGTGTCTATTATCCTTTCTGTGTTTCTTCATCCCCCAATCTTCTGGTTACTGATACTCAATTCTCCACTCCCGTGAGATGTCAGCTTTCACATATGTGTTAGTCAACTTCCTCTTGTGACAAAATACCTGAAAATAACAGCATACTGGCTCCATTGTTTAGGCTTATGGTGAAGCAAAACATCATGGAGGAACAACATGGCTGAACAAAGCTGCTCTCCTTCCGGTTACCAAGAGGCAAAGACAGAAGGAGGCAGACAGCCTGCATTTCTGCCTCCTCCTCCTTCTAACATCTTTTCTGTCTGGGTCCCTATCCTGTTGGATGGTGCCACCCAAACCCGGGAGGTATCATCCCCTGCCTCAGCTCACTGTCCCCTATGCCAATCATCTGTGGAAACCTCCTCACAGACACACCAAGAAGTGCACTTTACTAATTCCCTAAGTGTTTCACAAGCCAGTTAAGGCAACCATCAAGATTTGCCATCACAGCATATACCTCAGAACGTGTGGCACTAGTCTCCTTGTGCCTGATGTCTTTCACCTTATGTCTACTAGTTCCATCCACGTTGCTGCAAATGATAGGGCTTCATATTTTTATTGCTGAATAAAATTCCACTGTTTATATATACCACAGTTATTTTATCCCTTCATCCGAAGATGAGGAATAACTCATTTGAAATGTTTACTATGGAGCCTAGCACGTTGAAACTATTCATTTCATGTTACTTTCCACAGTGGGTATTTTATAGTTAGTACAACATAAGCACCAGTAGTTGAATTATGCTGTCTGACTTGTAGCCTATTGCCAACTCTAACTTTTGGTTCTGTGAAATAAATTTGATTTATATGTGGTTATTGCTAGGAGGAAAAGATTAAAGAAGTCTGTTCCCCTACTTGAAAAATTTTTTGGCTAAAGTCCTATAGTTGACAATATTCTAATAGTTGTTTTGTGAGATGACTTTGATTTTATAGCTGTGAATGATTTATTGCAAATCATCTTGCTACATGCAATTATAAAGACTCCATACAAATATTATGCTGTTTATGAATTTTGCCCATTCTGTGTCTTGTTGAAATTCTTTCAAAAACAAGCTTTTCCAGATATGTAATAATATCATTGGATGTAAATTTTCAGTCTAGTAGTTGTCTCCAGTGTTCTGCTGTATGGATGACATAGGCAGTATAATTTACATTTTCTGAAAGAGAAATGTAAGTAAACAGTCATTTCAGTACAAGGTGATAGCAACAAGATCAAGGTATTAATATAGAGGAGAGAGACACTTGCCCCAAAGAGTGAGAAATGGTGTGTGTGGGGGTAAAGAATCTCCATTGCTTTAGGTAAGTTTTAAATTGGAAAAATGTAAGAGTACATTTTTTACCAATTATTAGAATGAAGCATTGCCTATTGTGAAAATTATGACCTAACGTTTATGTTATTTATATTTTCTTTTCTCTGTTTTCATTTTTCTCCTCAGCTAAGAGGAAAACATTACTTTTTTATGCTAAAATTTTTTAGGATATCATTAAACAGTAACATACTGGACAATTAAATTCTTTTTTTTTTCTTTTTTCCTTGAAAAGTACTATAAGGAGAAATTGCTCAGCTATCAACCAGTGGAGATAAGTAAACACTAGCAAAAAATGCTTTTGATTTTAGTTTCTTCCAATAATGATCATGAAATATGTCAAACTGCTCTGAACTATTAAATATTTATTACAGAATGTAGAGCAGGAGAATGAACTTTGTTGTCCCAATATCAAAATAGTTTTTTAACATTGTTAAAAAGGAAGGCAGAAGATTATATAGATACATGGGGAAATATTTTACAGGGTCTGACTCTCCTGATTGATAATTAAATATGCAATCCTGGCACACACTGGGCATTTAGGACAGTCATATTAAGTATTTCACAGCATATAAAGTGTGAGAAAAATAATATTTGGAAATTCTGATATTTACATTATTTTTAAATTTTTAAACTTTTCTTGAATTGATCATACTTTATATGAAATAAAGTTCAACAAAATGTAATAGGTTTTCATCTGTACAAAATGAGAAGTTTCTGATCATTTAGCTGTTAAAATTTTCCTTATTTTTTAAAGTTAATCAATGTGTGTACAAAGCATACGTACTAAAGTCAACAGATTTGTCCAACATGGATAGACATATAAATACATATTGATTACCTATTAGTAATTTAAAATCTGTTTAATAAATCATAATAAAATCATGGAACAGTTACATGGAGTGTGAATGCAAAACTTCTAAAGAAGTTTTTTATTTTGCATTATTTACTACTAATGATGTTCAGTTTATCTGAAGAATTCAAATATAGATTTCAGTTACTCTATTAACCTAATATATGATTTGTCAGCCCAGAGGTCAAATAGTTAAATCAGAACACTCAATAGTATTTAAAATGTATTTCTTATTTTTCAAGCAAATGCATCTGGTTGTCTTCCAATAGATATTTCTCCTTTAAGGTAATAAAGATCATCTACCTAAAATCAATAGTCAATATTATTTTAAAAGTTATAATATTAAAGATATTTCCAATAAAGCCAGAAAAAACAGAAATATGTCTTCATCACCACTATACTATGACAATTACCTCTTATGCAGAAAATTCTGCCCAATAAAATAGAAGAAAATACCATAGTAAAAAGTGTGGATCAAAATTCATTGTTTTACAAGTATAAGAAAAACTTTGTATACTTAAAGTCAATAAGGACAATGAACATGAATGATAAAACGAACGTTTTTTCCCAAAAAGAACTATGTATAACCTAGAAATAGGTGAAGAATATTTGGCCCTACTCATAATCAAACCCCTGTATAATAAAACCACGATTAATACATCTTCTAAAATCAAAATAGTGAAGAGCTAGCCATGATGTTTTAAACATGGGGAGAACACAAGAAAATGCACATTCTCAGATATTGCTGGTAGAAAACAATTGAGCTTAATTATTCTAGAAGGAATTTGGCCTTTTTAAAGCAGAATCCTTAAAAATGTTTATATTCTTTAATAATATGATTTTGTCTCATAATTTTCTTAATGAAATACTTAGATACATAACCACTCAAGAAAGTAAAATTATAGAAAATCCAAATGCATAATCATAATCACAAAATATTGAAATAACTTCTTTTATGAAAAATATAAGAAAAAATGCAGTCAACCACATGATATTTAATGATGCAAGAGTATATATTAAGATGGGAGACATATACATTCTCAGTTTTGAAAGGAAAAAAAGGTACACATATACACATTTTAGAGGCAATCGTCTTATGTGAATACTTCAACTTGTTAAAGGTCAAGTCATCAGTGGTATTTATTTTCCACTTCCTTTGCTGATCTTGTATTATGTAAACAAGCTTAGTTACTGGCTCTTCAGCGAACCAATTAACGTGTGAGTTACAGATGCCTGTCATGGTCAGTGACCAATCCTGTCCCTTCTTTCAAAGCCCATTGGTGATTGGTCATGGCACATCCCTATTGCACATATTCACAGGCAGGAAAGCGTTTGGTTGTGTTGTATTTCCTACTGGCCAGTGACGTGTGACACTTTACAGACATGAACCCTCAGAGAAAGGGAATTGGCACACAGTGTGAAAGAACCGTGATGAAAGTACTGGAAGTGAAAATCAAGTTGAAAGTAAATGCAGTTACAAAAAACAAGCCGTTAAGGGCTGCTACCCTTTGAGGAGTGAGGTATACAGCCAAGCACCTTAGGGAAGACAAACTTACAGCAAGTGAGGAAAGTGGTTGCCAAGCAGTGGTTGAGGGGAGGATGTCCCAGAGGAAGTCTGCCAGCAAAAACGTCACAATGGAGGAATTCTCAAAGATATTGCACCACCAAAAAAAATCACAAAGGTCCGAAAGTGGCAGGCTGCTCCAAACCTGAGGAATGAGCCTGCCAGTTCTCCAGGGCGAGGGAAATACGCTTGCTTAGTGCCAGATGGTTGGGATGAGTGGAAGGTGAACATGGCTCCAAGCACTGTTGCAGAGATTTCTATAAAGAAATGAAAACAGCTCCATTCTCCAAGTTTAGAGTGCTCAATTAATATTTTGCTATTTTCCATTTCCTTTACTGTTATAAGTGAAAGCAGGGAGATTTTAGTGTTTCAACAAGGTTTTAAAGGTCATGGAACAATCATGAATCATGCCTATGAAATGCCTTTTTTCTGATGTCTTAAACCTTTTTTAAAAGGATCACTGGATTTTAACTCATGAATATTAACTTAATATTTAGTGAAGTAAATGGTTTACAAATTTTAAAAAGTCACAGCTCTTTGTCCTGATGTCACCTTATTGCCCTAGTGTGATCGATGCTTGCCTCTGTACAATGACAAGCCTTTCCGAGGAGGGGATCAAGTCCACGCTTTCGCCTGTAAACCCTGTCAGTGCTACGGCCACTCTACGAGTTGCCACTACAACGCCTCGGTGGACCCATTTCCTCTGGAGCACGGCCGAGGGGGAGGAGGAGTGTGCGACGCCTGCCAGCACAACACTGCAGGTAAGGAGAGTGGACGGCTGCTGCTCCCGCCTCTGTGGCCGCCTGCATCCACCTCTAACCTGGTCAGTTAGCTCCATCTTCCTTAAATATGTGCTTTCAAACCACTGCTTTCGCAAAGCAAAGCTGGTACATCTAACCTTCCTAATTACACGTATTCATTTAGGTCTTAAAAATGTGCTCCAGCCCTGAACAATATCGTTTCAGGAAGAGATTTCTGCTAAAGAGTTCACACTGTCTGACCAAACCACAAAGGAACACTTAGTGTGAGTGTGTATGTATGTATTCATGTGTGTATGCATGTTTACGTGTGTGATCATGCATCCCCCCAAAACAAATTTTTTCAAAGTCTCCTTATATCTTCTTCCTCACACAGATGTGTTTATGTATCGTTCAGATTTGACATGGAACTGGTAATCTGGAGATGCTCTGTTACAACTCTAGTTAAAGGCAGAAGTTGGTAAAGTCTTGTTCTAAAGCCACACAGCATTTGGACAAGTGTTTAAAATTATTATTTTCCGAAGGGCAATATGTGAAAACCAGAAACAAACAACATCTGAATTTCAAAATATGATGGCCCGAGTCTGATGCATCCGAGAGTATGGCTCTGAAGGTAGAAGAAGTTTATTAGGTAGTCTTGGGCATCTCCTTGGCTTGATGTGGAGAGGTGAAGAGGGATAGGAGAATGGATGCTTCTGTCTTGGATTACTGTGTAGTGAGGAAGGCAGACTGCTCAAAGGACAATCCTGCAGTTGTTTCATAAGTAGATGTTAACTAGTAGGGACTGAAATAACATTTCCAGGAGGAAAAACATGTGCAGTGACAGGGAAGAGGGAGAAATGTGACTCCTTGAAAGAGAAAAATGACCAATGCGGAGAAAAGAAGCTAGCAAGGAAAGCAGGGCCAGATCAGGAGGGCCCTGTAAGTGGTAATAAAGAGTTTGGCTGGCATGGCTATAATCCCTGCACCCTGGGAGGCTGAAACAGGAGGATCCAAAACTTTGAGCCCAGAGTAGGCAACTGAATGAGATCTTGTCTCAGAAGAAAAGTTGGGGATAAAGCTCAGCATAGTGTGAGAGCCCTGGATTCAATTCCTAGTACTCAAGAAAAAATGTTTGACTTCTGTCCTAAAGTCAATGAGATCCCACTAAAGGATTTTATATATTTAAGCACCTAATGAGTTTTGTGTTTTTAAAAGACTCATTTGGCGATAGTTTGGAGAATGGATTGGAGATGGTCGCGTTTGAAAAAAATGAGGTTATTAGTGCTGCAATCATCCAGGAAAGAAATAATGTTAAGGTTCTTTTAAATAAGACAAATTATCCAAGAGATATTTAGCATGGAAACATGAGCGCTTTTGTCAACAGGAGAAGGTAAGAGGATGAGGAAGGGTCGAGTCTGTACCTGAGAGCTTCAGGATGGACAGTGGAGTCCACGAGACAGGAAGACATTAGCACTGGCACTTGCAGGGAGAGGCAGAAGGGTCAAATTGCAGATGACAGTACTGTTTTAGACGTGTCCGTGGTGTATTTCCAAGAGATAGGACCAGACTCTCTGGTGGCACTTGGAGACTGTTCTGAAATTCTACCATGCTTTCGTGGTACCTCAGGAGAGGTCTGAACCACCCACATGCCTTTGAGGCACCTTTTGATTGTCACAGTTTGTAGGTGTGCGTTTATTCCTAGTACAGTTTGATGAAGGCCCATCTTACCCAAAGGTGGAAGAAAGCTCTGTGGGAACAAACGCAATGAACACTGTGCATTTTCTTGCTATTATACCCCTCAACAGTTAACATCATGCTTGGCACTTAGTAATCTCTTACTAAATAGTAAATCAAATGATAAAGAGAGATTTCTAGTTTGGAGATACAGATTTGAGGGTGGCCAGCACATATAAATAGAGACATTTTACAAATATAGCTCCATGTAAATTTTAATTAACACATAACCAATATCCATCATCTAATAAATCAGGCTATTCTGACATTTAATATGAAAATTATTTGAATAGTGAATTTCTGTTTTGATATTTGAAATAAAATAATGAGTCCCTCACAGAAGCATTTGCTTCTAGTTATGTTAAATACATAATAATTTGTTGTGCTGAAAACATCCTTGCAACTTTATAAGATTTAATTTTGGAATGATATTTCTAATACTACCAAACTATTAGCTTTATACTTTGTAAGTATCATCTACAACATGTGTAGAAATTTCTCATATGTGATTTACATGAAGAATTTTAGCCCTAGAAATAAAATTTTAAATTAAGGTACATTTAAAAAATGTATGGGCCCCTACAAAGCGTAGCATTTTAGTGGAGTGGTATTATATAGCAGATGGGAGTTTAATGAAGTAAAGCACAGTTCGTAACAGGTTCATTGTTTCATATGCTCTGGATCACTAAATTGGCAGGTAGAGATGAAAGGTGCATTACAATGGACGTCCCCAAAATTACGGAATTCCCTCAAAGGGATATCGTCTTTAATTTTGAGTTATGCAGCTGATTTTAATGAATTAGAAGTCATAATGCATAACCTTTCCCCCACACAGGAAAGAACTGTGAGCTGTGCAAGGATTACTTTTTCCGACAAGTTGGTGCAGATCCCTCAGCCGTGGATGTTTGCAAACCCTGCGATTGTGATGCGGCTGGCACTAGGAACAGGAGCCTCCTCTGTGACCAGGTTGGTTCTCGGCAGTGAAGGTAAAACACTCCGCTCTCTGCCAGAAACAGGCTTGGGCATGTTCTCCACGTGCACTTGAAGTCTACGTTTACTGACCCACTGTCTGTTTGCACTCAAAGCGATGGTCTCTTTCCAGGGAACCCTGTCCAGGGTTCATTGCAAACATGGCACAGAATATCACAGAGGCCGTCCCTGGCACCCAGGAAGGGGAATTCTAGGTTAATTTTTGCAAGTGTCAAAAGATATTGGAGGAAGGAGGTTCTAAGTAAACTATGAGGTCAGTCGAGTATAAATCTTAGGGTTATTAGTGAAGTTAATATTACTAGATAAGAACAGTTTTACCAGAAGTTCCACGAAGATGGTAGAGCAAAAGTCACTTCTGAGAGGATCAAATGCAGGTTCTGAGTGCCAGGATTTTAAATTCCTTTTTCCAGCTTGTCTCTCAACTAACATTACAAGGCATTTTTTATAATTTTTAAATATTTTGACTCCCTACACTGTAAATATTAATTTCCAACCTAGATGAATACAGATTCTAGCTAACCTCGGTTCACATATATCTATCCCTCCCTCCCTACATCCTTCCTTCCTCCTGTCTTCCCTTCCTTCTTCAGATTTGGGTATACATGGAAAAATGTATTTTAAAAATATTTATTAGTGCTTACAAATTTTTTAAAATTTTGGGCTTCAATGTAATATTTTCATATATGCCTGTAACATGTTGATCATACCCATCCCTGTTACCCTCTCTTATACCATATCTCCATCTCTGCTCGTACTCTTCCTCTTGTTTAATAATACTCTATCAATTCCCTATCTACATTCATTCTACCTTTTAGTTGCAAATTTTAGGGAAAACATGAGATGCTTGACTTTATGAATCTGGCCTATTTTGCTTAACATAATGATCTCTAATTCCATCCCTTTTCCTGGAAATTATTTAATTTTTGCCCTTTATAGATGAATAGTGCTCCATAATATACACATACCCCACTTTCTTCATCCATTCATTCATTATTCAGCACCTAAGCTGGTTCTACATCTGGGCAATTGTGAACTGTGGTACAATGAACACGAGTATTCATTCAGGTATCCTTACAGTGTGCTGACTTGACTTTCTTTGGGTATACGAGGGGAGTGGTATAACTGGGTCACATGGGTTCTCTTTGCAGTTTCTTGAGGGACCTTCATGCTGGTTCCCATACTGTTTGGTCCTAATTTACATTCCCACCAGCGGTGTAGAAAGATCATTTTTCCTTCAAAATTCTTACAAGCCTTTATTGGCTGTTGTGATAGTTATGATAGCCATTTTGACTGGGGTGACATGGAATCTCGGTGTACTTTTTAAAATTTTCATTTCTCCCATGGCCAAAGATGTTGAACACTTTTCATATACTACTGGCCACTAGGACCTCTTTTGAGTAGTGTCTGTTCTCATATGCCCTTTTATTGATTGGAGATTTGACTTTTGATTTTTTTAGTTCTTACATATCCTTATATTAATCCTGTCACAAGATCAGCTGGCAAAGACTTTCTCCCATTTCGTAGGGTATTTGCTGTGGTTATTTGCTGTGCAGACGGAAGCTTTTTCAATTGGTGTAGTTTTACTTGTTGATCAGAAGCTCCATTTTTTAAATAAGTTATCATCAGTGGAAGTTCTTATCTGTTCTGAGTGAAAATTACGAAAATGGATAAAGGAAAAATTTATGTTGAAGAACCAAATCAATGACTCTATTAATTTTCAACAATTACATATTCTGTTATAAATAATTGAATGTACAGTGCCTGGAAGCATAAACCACAATCCAGTCACAGAACATTTTTTAAAAGGTTCAGTATCAATATAATAAGCTCAAGACAAAATGTTTCTCACGTAACTTTCAGCATGCATTAAAATTGCTAAGATAAAAGACAGTTTTAAACTAGGACAAAATACGGATTTAAAGACCTTCAAAATAACCATAGCATGTTGACAAGAAATTATCATATGCTTCGTTGAGAAGCTGAAGGGTAAAAGAATAATTAACAGAGACAATTTCTACTATTTTCACTATATGTTACTGAGGGCCTATTTTCTTAGGAAGTCTTAGTAAATTTTTATACATTGATTAGCGAAATCTGACATCTTTTTTTTTTTTTTTTCCCTCCGGAACCGGGAACCGAACTCACGACCTTGCGCTTGCCAGGCAGGCGCTTTTGCCGCTGAGCTAAATCCCCAGCCCAAATCTGACATCTTTGTAGGTATCTCACAGAGAGCAAAAACATAAGGGTACAGAAAACATGCTCATTTTTCTAGAGAATAATAGGGTAACTGCTGAGCAGAACAATTTATAATATATTATGTATGACTTGAAGGTATGGCATTCTAAAAACATAATTAATATCAAAAGAGATGGAGATGCTTATTACTCTGGTTTGATTATAGCACATTGTATACACTTATCAGATTACTATGCTATACTCATAGAGATGCACACAGATTATGTCTCAACAAAAAAGTACTCCAAAAGTAACCTATGAAGAGAATTTTAAGTGCAACCAGCCTTTGCTTGTCATTCAAGCTTCAGCTCAAATACTGATAAACATTTTTGTAATAGCTTCACTGACTTCCCTATTGCAAAACACGTCCCAGTCAGTGCCTTTGCCTCACCTCATTGTCATTTTCATTATGGTCCTTATGAAATTAATTTGCTTGTTTAGTTCTTTTTCTTTGTCCTGTCTGACATATACAGAAGAGCTTCAGTCGTATAATAACTGCCAATAAATATTTGTTAAAAATTGTTGGATAAATGAAGAGAGATTTTATCTGAGCACTGACCTTATAGGTTGCCTTTGAAGATCATTTTGTTCAGACATAATATGAGAGCAGCATAGTAATCTGATATGTGTATAACAATGTGTTATAATCAAACCAGAGTAATAAGCATTTCCATCTCTTTTAATATTAATTATGTTTTTGGAATTCCGTTCTCTTCTAGTCATACTATAATATAAAATGCATTATTCTGCTCAGCAGTTCCCCTACAGTTCTCTAGGTAAAGGAGAACTACTTCCTCCTCTCTGTGTCCCGAACCCCCATGGCACTTCGTTCCAGTCCCTTTTGCCCTAGCCCTTCCTGCTCTTTAGTGACCACTATTCTAGATCATGTTTTTATGGGACAGACGTTTTAGTTTCCACAAGTGAGAAAAAGCATGTGCTGTCTGTCTTTCTGTATCTGGCTTATCTCATTTAACATAACCTTCACTTCCTTCCATGTTGGTGCAAATGACAGATTTCCATTTCTCTTTATGAGTAATAATCCATTGTGTACATATAACACATTTTCTGTATTTGTCCAGTGATAGGCGTCCAGTTGATTCCATATTTTAGCTATTGTGTTGGGTTTCTTTTTACAATACTGAGAATGGAATCTGGTACCTGGCACATATTAAGCATTTGCTTTACTACTGAGCTATAACATCAGACTTGCGTATTTTGGCCATTATGAATAGTGCTGAAGAAATGTAGCTGTACACACGCATCTTTAGTATGCTGATGTCATGACTTTCAGATGTATACATAGAAGTGGGACATCTGGAATGTATGCCAGTCACATTTTTAATTTTTTGAAGAGCCTCTCTTCTGTTTGCTATAATGACCACACTAATGTCCATTGCATCAACAGTAAAAAAGACTTCCTTCTTCTCTTTCTTCTTCAATTTGTTATATTTCTTATAGCAGCCATTCTAGTTGGGATGAAATAGGATCTTACTGTATATTTGATTTTCAGTTCTCCGATAGTATGATGATGAACATTTTTTTCATATAAGAGTTGACCATTTATGTGTCTTCTTTTGAGAAATATGTATTTAGTTATTTATTTCCTTCTAAATTAGATTATATTATTTGGTGTTCAGCTTTTGAAGTTTCTCAAATATTCCTGAGATGAATCCTTTGTTGGATGAATAGATTGCAAATATTTTCATCCATTTTCTAGGTTGCCCTTTAATTCTGTTATTTCCTTTGCTGTGCAGAAGCTTCTTAGGTTGATATAACACCAGTTGTCTATTTTTAGTGGGTTTTTGTGCCTCTGTCTTTGGGTTCCTATCTAAAAAATTATTGCTTGTACTCATGTATTGCCTACCTTTTTCTTCTAGCAGTTTCAGAGTTTTAGATGTTACATTTAGGTGATTAATCCATGTAGAGTTGATTTTTGTGTCCAGTTAGGGGATCCAGTTTCATTTTTTTGCATCTGTATGTCCAGTTTTGCCAGTATTACTTATTGAAGAACCTGCTTTTTCTCGACTGTATATTCATATGCTTCTATTGAAAATCAGATGCCTGTATGACTGTGGGTTAATTTCTAGGCTCTCTATTGTGTTCTGTTGGTCTGTTTTGCCCTTTATATGTCTGTCTCATGCTGTGCTTGTTACTGTAGTTTTATAGTGTTTTGAAGTCAGTTGTGGTGGCTCCAGCTTTATTGTTTCTGCTCGAGATTGATGTGGCTATTATTGATATTTTATAGCTTCACATCAATTTCAGCATTTTTAAAATTATGAGGAAAGTTATTGACATTTTGGTTTGGTAGGAATTTCAGTGAATATTTGAAATCTTTTTGATAGTTAAGACAGTAAGGTCATTTTAACTATTAATTTTTCTAGTCCACAAACCTGGGATATTGATCCTGTGTGTGTGTATGTGTGTGTGTGTGTGTGTGTGTGTATCCTCTATCTTTTTTTTCATTAGTGTTCTATGATTTTTATTGTAGAGATCTTTCACTCCCTTGGGTAGCTTCATTCCTGAATATTTTAATGTTTTTAGCTATTATGAATTGGATTGCCTTATAAGTTTGGTTTTAACTTCATTACTGGAGTACAAAAATACTACTTTTTTGTTTCCTGCAACTTTACTGAGTTTATCAGTTCTAATAGTTTTATCAGTGGAGTAACTTAGTGACAGGTTTTTGTTCTTTCAGTACTTTGAATATAACATCTCACTTTCATCTGGCCTGTAAAATTGCT